CCCGGGTTCTTCGGACTCCTTTGACAAGTTCAAGGTCTGTGAAAAGAGATTCGTGGTGGGGGCAGCGCTGAAAAGCTCAGTCATGTCAACGACTCGCTCCTTTCACTCATGATGACCGCGGAGGCTTTTCGGCGCCACTCCGAATAATTCGCGCTCGCTGATTGATTCGCGACGTGAAATTGCCGATATCGAATGAGCGCTCGGCGCTAGCGTCACATGCATTATGCGCGTTCAGCGCCGGTGAAAGTTCAAAAACGCGTACCTCGATGGCAGTTGATTCATCAGGAATCGATTGTTTTACATGCGTTTAAATGAAGAAAAAACAATGTTGCCAACTTCACAAGAATCACCACTGAGTGCGAGTTCGAATTCACGAGTCTGCATGTTTTATATTTTTACATCGATGGCTAAAGTCGAAAAACGCGAATCTCCTATCTGTTTCGAGCCAAGGAAAAACGCCGTATGAGCTTTCGAATGTTGCCGAGTTGTCCTCGGCGGAATAAGACATTTTTAGAAATGATATGATTATTTTTCTTTCAATTTTTCCGATAGTGTTCTTCGCAATGTAATCAAAAAGATCTGAAAATTCCGAGGAAAAATATTCACAGTTTTCCTAAAAAACTAATCATTTATTGGGAGGCGCCTTGGGAACATTCGAATGCTCATACGACGTTTGTTCCGAAAACAGAAAATTTGCATCGTTGCAAATTCCTATGGTTGTTTTTTTAAAGATAACTACGAAGAATTTCATTTTCGAAATTTTTGATGAATTTTTCAAGGAAATTTTCAAGTTTTTCAGTCAAGATTCTCAGTTTTCCTCAAACAAATTAGACATAGGTAATGGGATGTTTTGAAACGTTGCAATGACGCAATAAAGGCATTATTAGTTGACATTTAAATACGCTGTGAATATGCTATCACTCGAAAAAGTAACCATTAAGTAATATATCGACACTGTGCTTAAAATGTTTGCTAAAATGTATAAGAAGATAGGTAATTCAATCTCCACACCCTTTGCTGAAAACATTACTCCTGATTTGATACATTATTTTAAATTAATAAAGAATCAAGAAAAGAATCACCGTTTACTTTGTTTACCAACCCGTGCTGCGTGCTCGCGTCACGTGCTGCGCACGCGCTGTAAGCCCCTATGCAATTCATGAATGAACCATTCAAATCGGAACGGACCAATGAGAGATCAAGAATTAGGGTCATCGACCTTCTCGTAGTACTTTGCGTAGTATTTTGTAGGAAGTGTTGCCAGATCAAATGAGCACAGGACAGGACAGGGCAAGGTGTACCAGACCACCCGTATACCTCCGTACCAGGCTGTTTTCTCGATTGTTTTTGGTGGAACGAAGTCAGGAACCAGGAGGGAATCGAAAGAATCCGAATTTCGTGATCCCAAGGACTCCCTTGCCTCCCTTAAGAGATAAACAAGAGGGGGGGGGGGGGGGGGGGGGGGCTCAACCCTGGTAAAAATTGGCGATAGGAGCTGCGTTTCAAAATACCATGGGAGTTCTTATAGCCGACTAAAAAAGGCTATTGAAAATCATATAGCTGGCTGTAGAAAGCGGATCAAATCATATATCCGGGCTGAAGCTATAAAAAATTTTACAGTCGGGCTATAGTTCCTATCGCCGGGCTTTGCACTTTATCGCCATTGGCTATAAAAGGCTATAAGAAATTGTGTAGAAATTCTTGTGCTTTGGAAATCATTAAGTTTGGTATGGAACTACCTTAATATTTACGAAACGCACGTTATATTTTCATTTAAACCATATTTTTTTAATCAATTAGAATGAGAATAATCCATACAGAGTGTGCAAACATTTCAAAATCATGAGTTGAAAAACGCTGACTCCGCGAGATTAAATATTAGAGCCTAGCACAAAGCGGAGCGGCGACGCACTGGCGCCTACAAACCTAACAGGGATACTTCACGCATTACGCAATGCGTGAAGTATCCCTGTTAGGTTTGTAGGCGCCAATGCGTGTCTCGCGCTCTCTGCCCGCCCGCCGCGCCGCAGCGTGCCACGGCGTCTGAAGCAACTATTTCACACCAGAGGTATTGCACAGTATCATAAGACATTGAAGGCGCTCCAACATATTAAGAATGGCAGGCATCCTTCAAAAGTACGGAGCTTTCCTCGCAAAATAAATCAAGATACTACGGCACAAACAGAGAGCGGTAGTCCAAAAACTAACTCAGTCCTAATCTCCGTATTTCGTAACGTTTAGCATAAACTTTATCGTCTGGCTGTTGCTTAGTCGTCATCGGCTATAAAAGGCTGTAAGAAATTGTACAGCCAGCTTCAGAAGCTATTGGAAATCTTACAGCCGGCTTTAGGTCTATGGTATTTTGGAACACAGATTCTACTGCCAATTTTTACCAGGGAATTTTAAAAGTCGGGGTTCCTCTCTGAATCGCAAATTGATTGCATCCAAATTGAAGCGAGCACAGCCAATGGAAACCTTAATTGACCCCTAAGAGTTATAAATTGACCCACCCAACGCCCAAAAGTAACTCCCTAAAAATAGGGGGCGGTACCCCCTCCAAAGTTGCTCTTCGGTCGCAAAATTGATGTAGATTCTCCGGAGAAGAGTGGTATCCTGGGTGATCGACACTAGATACTCGACAGTGGCGCGTGGCGTGAATTGCGACATATCGATTGTTATGCCATTTAAACCTATAGTGAAGAATCGATTATTAAGGTATTCGCTGCGAACACCCTGTTTATAGATCTTTTTCCATAGGTTCATATGGCAACACAATCGATATATCGCAATTCACGCCACGCCACTGATACTCGAATTGGTCTCGTGCTCCTTTGACATCCCTTGATCCTGTCCCCTGCTTCCTGCCACCTGGGGTCCACACCATACCTAGGACACAAAAACTGTGATAATGTAGCTCCGCCTCATGCAGTTGAAAAGAAGTGAAGTAACTCCGCGCCAATAACTGCAGGAAAAAGGTCTTTCCGCATATTAGTATACTCTGCAGTGGCCATTGAACTTTGAGGAAAAAATGAGAGGGTGATGATCCAACGCTGACCACAGCGTTCGCGATTCATGCCCAAAAAAAGCGGAAGGGTGTGTCGCGGCTTTGCGTTTCCTGCAAAATTTATTAGCATGCAATCTTCCGCCTCTTGGCAGCTAAGGAGTACCCAAACACTTGGTCGGTCATTTCACAATGCTCCTCACATTCGGAGAAGTACGTATGCCAACGATGAGACCTGACATATATAAGGGGCTTAAGAACAAGGCGCATACTTGCAGTTGTTGAAAAAATGGAGGTATTAATGGTTCAAAGTAAAACGAGTCTCAATGCATAATCTGTGAAAAATTCGCTCTCAAATTCCAATTTATAAACATCAAAAAGTCAGTTTGAACCTTCTTTCCGCCTTAGGATCCATGTAATTTCGAAACTTCCAACGCGTATTTCTCGAAATAGCAAAAACTGCTCTTGTGTGCCTTGTCCTCCAAGCCCCTTACATAGACTTTAGCCACCATCAACAAAATTGGTAAATCTGCCATAATTTTATGGTTAACATGATTAACAATTGAGGATCTAACATGTAACGGTTCAAATTTTCTTATGACGCATTCTAACTATTAGTTTCTCATTAGCAAAATCATTACTGATGCCGTAACCACTCGAAACTGTAGAAAATTGTTCTTCCTGCCGGAGCTATCGGCAAATGTTTTACATACTTAAAGCGATTTTGGCCCTCTATTGAGAGGATTGGGGGGGGGGGCAAAAGATAGAACCTTGCAACTGATTGTGAGTTCCACCATCAACATGGAGATGGAAACAAATTAGAAAAGGTAGGGACGGAGCTTCGTTTCTGAAATTACCGTGGGTAATGCACAACCCCCCCCCCCTTCCCCTTACCCTTCCTCAAATTTATATAGCTTGCAAAAAAGTTCGCATGGCTCGAGTCTAAAATTAAAAACACTGGATTTAATAATGAAGGATGAATACATAATAATATGTTCGTCTCATTATTGCGAAGATTCTTTATCCAGATAAGCGATTGTCCGACGAAGTTGGTACATCTGCGAGAAGTTATCACTATCTCATTTTAATTAACGCTACCCGCCTTCATTATTTTTGCATAAATAAGTGTTTGCTGAATTCAAAAGGCGTGAGTATTTTTAAACTCAAAGAAATCAAATTAAGCACCATAAAACACGATAAAATTAGATGGAAAAGAGTTTTAAATGCATCGAAAATAAGTTAAGATATTATTTGTGGTCTTAAAACATACCCTGCACCCAGTGGCGCATCACAGGCATTTTTCATGGGGTCCGAGTCCTCGGTGAAAATTTTTTTAAAAAGGGGTCTGAGGATATAGGTAAAACTCCTGACAATCAAGAAGACAGAGGACACAGAGGACAGCTTGTTCAAAGAGTGCCCTCTTTTTTTCAAACGTGGGGATTTCCTTTAAATCCATCACAAACGGAACCTTCAGATGAAACAATCTTCCCATGACAGTTTTAGCTTAAGTTCAAAGCTCATCTTGGCAGCGATGATGCAGTGCTGCAACGTTTGAATTTTTTTCCTGTTAAAAGTGATATTCTTTTGAAGTTGTTCATTATAAAAACAACTTTAATCCGTCTGTTTTTATATTTTGGAGCACAATTTCATCAGTTGATGTTACTCGGGATTGAGACTTTTGTTGATACTGCGATATAACGATCAGGCATGATATATAGCGTTGCAAAGTTTATAAAAGGTGTCGCAGACCACCCGTGCTAGGCTTGCATGGCTGCTGCCCAAAGAAAGTTTGCCGATAAGGAGAAAACATCATATAAAGATCCAGACGTTGCTATTTTTCTTCTCATAAATCTCTATTTAGAATGGAAAGTTTGGAACATATTTCCTTTAGATTCTCCAAATCATTAGATTAAATTGCGCAGAAAGTTCTCTAAACCTTTAAAAATAAGAGCTTGTAGCTGTCTCGAAAATTCGTGTTTAATCGGAGGAAATTTGGCAACGATCCAACGTTCATAAGGTGTTTTTACTTAACGCTTCAGTATTGCTTTCCGAGCAGAAAACAATATCAATGAGTACTGAGGTCTTGATGCAACTATTCGTGCTCTATGGACAACCGTGTTGCATCCTATAAATTGAAGGCGCTTCGGTATTCTAGCCCATGAGGCAGTAGTGTTCGCACTTTCGCAGCGACACGCTGCTGTCACGCCTCGGTGAGGCGCTAAATTTAATATCCTGATAAGTAAAATTGGGCCAAAATATCCTTTCCTCTCCTTTCCTTGTAGTTTTCATGCAAAAATTTAATCTTGCAGCGCGTATACGTACCGGCGCGTCACACACCGCACCGCTGCGTGCACTGCTTCGTGGCCTAGGGTGACCAGGGCGCCTTCAATCTTTTTCATATGCAACACGCGCATCCAGAGAGTACGAATAGTTGTATCAAACCTATTAGCATAAGGAGTCCCGGGCCGGCGTGTCTTAATTTACCCAAATGTCGTTTCAAAAATTGAATTAAAAAATGATCCCATCTAGACGTGCAAATATTTTGAAGTTGCTCAGTTAAAACAACATCTTTAACGAATTTTTCTCTTGTTTCTTGTTTTCTATACGGCGATTAAATCGCTATGCGTCGCAATTTTTGATTCGGTAAAATCGCGATCGATTTGCGTCGATAAAATCGATATTAAATCACCATAAGTATATCGCTCTTTTTATTTCGATAATATCGCGATGAATTGCCGGATGATAAAATTGCGATTTTATTGCAACAAGATCGATAATCGCTCAGATGTTGATGATCCTATAGCGATTCTATCGCCGATAAAATCGCAATATATAGCGGTTTTCCCGTTGAAAAACGCTACTTCCGGACCCCAGGAAACGAGCTAGCATGGTTTTGAGGTCTCTCAGCTCTCTTAGGGTCCACTCCTTATTTGATCCCTATTTCCTAGAAAAAACCGACTGCAAGAAAAAAAATGTAATGTTAGATATTTGCGCCCTGTAACCTTCAAATCATTTCTTAACAGTGACCGTTTCTCTGTGAATAATCAAGTCGATCTGAATCCATTCGGATCTCATCCATCCAATTCGGTTGCCTCTTGATGCTATCGGGCGCTAACTGCGTGAATTAGAACTGAGATATCAGACTGCCTGAAATCTCAATTCTAATTTTTACAGTAGCCTGTTCCTTTGCAGCCTCGTGTAAAAGCATGTGGGTAACTAATTGGGTGGATGCGAGACTTTAATAATCTTATTAGTCATGATTATGAGGGCTCGTGGCTAGGGCCAGGCGGCACACAGTGGATCGAGTCAATAGGAGAGGTCGGACAAAATTTGGAAACTTCAAACGCTTACAACTCCGTTTATACAAAACTTTGAGGTGCTGAAAGTTGAACCGTTGGTTTCCTCGTAAAATTTTCTTCTCTCAGAAACCCATTGAATGTTAAAATGTGACGAATTTAAGATCAAAATTTGCAGTTTTGGGCAAAAATTTCATGTCCGACCTTTGGAATTGACTCCATCCACTGTGCGGCATGACCCGCACGCGAGACTCGACGCACGCATCATGCATTATTATTTTACCAGTTACTGAAGCGGTAAAATCTGGAGAGGGGAAAGTAAAGCCCTGCTTCTTCTTTTCCCGCCGAAAGTAATCAGTATATAAAAATGAATACAATCAAAAGGAACTATGATGTATGCAAATCCTATGCACAAAGTTCCTTTCGATTAAATTATTCGCACCTTCACACGGATTTACGTACTTGCCGCCCATGGGCCGCTAGTATTTTGCCGCCCCCTTCTCATTCGTTTTGAAACATCTATGAAAACCGTCAAATGAACGTGCCAGCGAAGGAGGGGTGCATAAGACGCGTTTACTGGTGTTAACACATTTTTTGGGAAAGCCTTGTCAACTCTACTAGCAAAAGTTCACGGAACATTGCGCGAAAGTTAAGTTTCGTAAACCTATCTCTGTGTGGACAAGGCCTTCCATTCATAAGAAATGAACGAAAAAATTATGAAAGAACAAACATAAATGTGGGTTAATGATTTTAACTTCCGCCGTCGCGCCTCGCAGACCGCACTGTGTTTGACGCAATGCGTGAGGTATTCACGCAGTCTTGTAGGCGCTATGCGTCTCACGCTGTCCGCAATGCCCGCACTGTGTTTGATGCAATGCGTGAAGTATTCGTGCAGTCTTGTAGGCGCTAATATGTGTTACATGCCGATCGCCGCGCCGAGAGCTTCTCCTTCAAGTCCTCGTCATCATTTCTCTCTAGGTAAGTCGCGCCGTTCCAGGCCAAATTGTGTGTTAGGTTTCTCTCTTAACTCGACTAATTAAAAGTGCTGCCTCTTGTATCACTGAAAGACGACAAAAGTAGAAATTACTATACTCTCGGAAAATTAGAGATTTTGTCGCCTTTTCTCGTTTGTAATTTTATTTTCTAAATCCGAATTGTATTTATACCTACAATTAAAAAAATTGCACAATTTGCCGCCCCCTATGGATTTGCCGGCAAATTTCTATTGAAATAAATTGCAATAAAACTGAAGATTTTCGCGCGCTACAGAAGCGAGGGGAATCGGAACTTGTTCGCCGAATCGGTATCTGATTGGTTCGTCGACGTGTGACACGGACACCCAGCCAATCAAGGCTGACCGTTATCGAGCACTCGCGGCACTCGAACAGCGTTGTCAGATTGCACTGCGCATGACAAGAAAAACTGAAATACTTGAGTCTCATTTAGCAACAGCATATTGTCAGTTGAGGAAAAAATTCCGAGCGCGTCACACCTCTCACGCTGAGTGCCGAGAAGCTTTTGATAAGTTGCTGACTCTTTTCTCACTCTGTGCTTTACTTTTCATCGCCATCAGCGGCATTTGTCCTTGGCCTGAAGTTCGCTGAAGTAATCTTTCAGTCTCGCGGATCACATTACAGTTAGTTACACATGATTTCATAAGTCTGTTGTCAAATCCGCAGTGGCATCCAAGTGTTAAATTCGGTGTGTCCCAATCGGCTTGCTCAATACTTTAATAATTTACTCTCACTATGTCTCTAGAAACTTACCAAGACTTTACGAATAGCTACCTCTTATCAATTTTCAGTGCTCTTGTTTTCTATGGAAATAATCGATGGATCCTTCCAAGGTTCGTGCCCAAGAATGCGAGGCACTCGAAAAAAAGTGAATGGGAGTGGATCAACATTGCCAACTCCCTCATACATTCCTTCATCACAGGGATGTGGGCCCTATTTTGGTGAGTCCATCCGTCCATTTCTATTAAATAATGTTGAATTTTCTATATATGCAGCCAATAATAGCTGATATCTTTGGACCTTTGACTGATTTTCTCTACACGACCGTTGAGAATATTCAGGGCGAGTCAGGTTAGGGCTGAGCGAAGTATAAACAGAGTTCTTATCACTAAACAGGTTTCTTATTGTTTTTGTTTTCATTCAAGTAATTTAAATTTCAATGAAAGTGAAGTGTAATGCCTCGAACAGACCCACAATTCATGAATTTTCTGCCAGTGAAGGAATGGTGCAATGTTTTCTTTTCGCCCAGGATGAGTCATTGTTTATCATCAGCTTGCACGTTTTGATAAGAGATCAGGTGTTTTTTCAATCACCTTGGTGAAGATGATTCAGCAAACCTGAGCTTAAATGACTGTCATTAGATGAACCCCGTTATAATGATTTTTACTAAGACTTTGCTGAGAATGAGACGATAACGCTGGAAGAAGCCTAGGTGACTACAAGATCTGTATTATCTTCCCAATGCCATTTCTGTGCATTTCAGTGTTTAGATAGATCCAGTTCTTCTCAAGCAGAGACTGTACTACAGTTGTAGACTTCCTCATGTCTATGAAGTGATAAAGGATTTTACATAGGTAACCAAGTCAGTTATGGGTATGGAACAGTACTCAAGTACCTATTGATTTCACATTTACTCGTTTGCTATTAAGCGATGAGCAATCGTAGGACCTGAATTTTAGGATCTTTTTAGCATTTGCCTCCTGTTACCTACGATTTCCTCAGACTCGAGGAAAAAGACATCAAATTTTAAGTCAAGGACATCGATGATAACAATATGCACCAGGGGTAATGCAATTTCAACTCGAAAAATATTTACAGAAATCTGTTTCTAACAAGTGCATCCCCGTTAAATTTCCCTACAATCCCTCATTGAATGGTTGATTGGTATCTAGAACGAAGGAAGCAACTTATTTATGAGGAAGTATTGCCTCTTTAGCCACAAATTCTTGCTCATGCATGCATGCTTATGTCAAGATTAGTTGCGTTCCAAAACGGAAAGGCACTTAAATTTGCATATTTTGCCTGTTGAAACATAATATTCCGTAATGTTCTTTGAAATTATTATTTTATTCTCCTTTTTTCAGCTTTTGGCAAGTTCCGGATATGCGACAGGATCTAATCTCTACCTATTCTTTCTCCGCACACATGTGTATGTGCTTATCAAACGGTTAGTATATTAATTTTTTCTCTTTTCCCTCATTTTCCCCATTCCTTTATTATGAAGTATTACTAAGAGTTTGGCCTATGAACTTTTACAAGTTATCGTTGTGTTACCAAGTGTCTCTTTTATAAGTTACCGTGGCTGCAATAACCAGGGCTCTGCTATAGGGAGTATAAGTAATTTTAAGCACTTGCCCACCCATCGGGTTATAATTTCAGTTGTGCATGGGACAGTAGTGAGCGTATAATTTCCCTTATGCTAAATAAAAGATGGATTCTATATTTATTAAAAACAGGAAGAAAAATCGTTGAACATGATCTGAAAATTATTTGTTCATTTTTAGGATGAAATGAACATTTGTTTATCTACCCAATGTCAAATATGTGAGAATTTTTACCTCTGCTGATATTTTTGCTTCACCAACCCTTTTCACTGGTTTCATCTTCTTTATTTTAACTTTCAGGGTATTTTATCTACGACTTCATAGACATGGCTAATCACTGGGAAGAAGGTGGCTTTGAAATTTTATTCCATCATATTGTTGTAAGTATTTAATATTTTTATTTGAAGACTCCATCCCTTTTCCCCCAAAAATTTGAGTCCCTTTTTTTCTTTTTTTATATTTTCGAAGTTCCTTAGTTAGAAAAATTAAGTTGCGGCAAATGTGAGACTAGCCTTGGGTCAAAAGGACATTTTCTTTAGTGATGATCTTCTTTTTCCTCCTCTCTTTTTTTCTCATCTCTGGAGGGGCTGGAGCAAATTGCACATTTTCTGGTGAAATCAGGCATTTTACCATTAATTCGGACATTTTGCTTTGAGGCAAATCTGAAATTTGGCTGTCAGGCAAGAAACCGAATCACGTGCACAGTTGGCATCTGGCATCCTTGAGCAAAGCTTGAAATATTGAACGACTTAAAATAATTTAATCTCAGCATTGAGACTCTCCCAATTTATACTAGTCTTATTTTGTAGAATTGCAAGTCACCTGCAGCTTTTCTCTCTTTTTATTGATTAAAATTAGGTCAAAAGAACAGAAGTTACCCTCAACTGTGCTTTTTGTGGATAGGTAAATAAAAAAAAAAAAAGAAGGAAGAAAAGAGATATTCGTTGAGAAGAAAATGGAATTTTGACCCTGAGGTAAGCTGGTAACCGCAGATAAGTCTATCTGCAATACTTTGTTATGCGCATACCTGTCAGTGAGACAGTGGTAAACATGCACAAAATTTTTGTGCTATTTATAAGTCAAAATTATTTTAAAGAGAGTCAAAGCAACTTAAAAGTTGCACCTAATCATATATTCAATGTTGGTAACTAATGATACATTGTTGAAAGAGAAGTTCGTCTGAGGAATCTCCTAATCTCCTGACTAATGGAACTTGAAAAAATTGAATCATTCATAGAAAATGAAATAAGTTATTTTAAGCTAAGTACTAACTCATTTTTCATCTCCTAGATTATTACCTGAAAGAAGTCTAATGAATAGAGAGTTCTAAAACCCCGAGGATGATGACTTGAGAAAAATTAAAACCGATATTTTTGCCGAAGCTATTATGAACAGAAAAAAAATTGCTTTTAATCTGCTTTGGAGCTGCTTTATTTATTCATGGAAATTAAACTCATTTATGTAAAAGCATTCAATTGAAGGCCTGGAGGCCAAGTGAGTAAACTAACATCAATTCACTTTCTTCTGTAAGTAATAAAGTCAACTCATTCTCAATTATTGTAAACATCAATTTTTTATTTTCAGGTCCTCATTGGGTATACAGTACCCTTATCTTCACTCAAGTATATGGGTATCACCTTAGTTGGACTGCTGATAGAAGTCAACAGTATATTCCTTCATCTCAGGACATTGATGAAGTTAGCAAAAGCTGATACAAAAAGTATATCATACCACGTAAATAACGTAGTCAATCTAGGTAAGTTTTTTTGTAGATACTCTCCATACTCTCATCAATGTAGAAATCATCACAGAAATCTATTAAAAAGTAGCATCATTCTACATTTCACAAGGTACAAGGATGGTTAAACTGGGTTCCTGGTGGTCTAGAAAACCAGAAAAGTCAGGGCATTATAGCAACCAAGAAAATTCAAGGATAATCAGGGAATTCTTAAATATGGTCAGGGAATTTTGTCAGTAGCGTTCAGCAGAAGCATGTGCCAATCAAAGGAAAAGAATCTAAGTGGAAGTATTGAAATGTCAGGGAATCGAAAAATCTTGGAGTCAAAGCAAAAGTAGTCAGAGAAACAGAAGATGAAGGAATTTAGAAAACCTTTTCCAAGAATTATGAATTACGGCAAGACAGTTTTAAAATTTGTGGGGTACTTTATACCAAATTAGCAGAACTGGAAAAAAAAATTCCTTGCCACTTATTTTGATGAAATTATATTGAGTAGAAGCTTACTATACTTTTGTGAGCAGTGAAAAAGAGGGGGGAGGGGGCTTTCTAAAGAAAATTACAAAAGATAGAAGTGTCATTTTGACCCTCTAATTTTAAGGCCTTGGATTTTTTATTTAAACCTGGAACATAATGTACACCTATCTGATTTAATGTTCTCATTCAATTGCCTGAAATTGTGAAATACTCAATGAATCGTGGAACATTATGGATTATTAAACCTAATTGAGGGTATCTAATAGCCTCAATCATTTATCAAGCTAATATGAGGTAGGTGTCCAGTTGAGTTAATGAAGTGGGATTTTATTGCATTCATGGGTGTTATCAAGAACCAGATTACATAGAGGGTTATTGCCCTTTAACGAGCTGTGAACAAAGCTATTTTGTGTGGCATCTGATTCAAAACCTCACAATATGTGTAATGGCTCTCTCATCTTTGTGCTTGGAGTTGACACAGAATACTCTTCTTACAGACAGGATAAATCACACAGCCATGGCAACACATTGCTGTTGAGTTTTTCCGTTTACTACGGAAAGCATAATACTTTTCTCGTAAATTTTTCTTTCGCATACAGAGGTTTTCCAACAAATTTTGTCTTACATCGATTAATTTTGCCTTTTTTGATTTTTGCAGGTACATTTGTACTCTTTAGAATTTTAACCCTTGGCTGGATGACCCGATGGGTTGTACTGAATAGGGAACACAAAGACATGACTAAAACTGCCTTTTATATTGCCAGTGCACGTAAGTTATATTTTTATGTCTTACTTTGTTTCTCTCGAACCCATTTCATCTGATTTAAAGATGCCTGCCACTAAAGCTCTCTAACATCTGCAAAAATTCATGTTTCCGACCAAAATCACATACTAAAAACTCAGAACTTTCCGAACGATAACTTATTCTCTGAAGGTTTATTCAGAGGATGCAGTTCCTTGAGAATAGTTTAAATACAATGACACATAGTTGAGTACATCATGTGTAGTTAATCTTACTGTGATTCCATTAAAAGAAGATGGGGGCAAGAAAAGACAGAAATCGTCGATGAAAGGGTCGAATGTATGATTTTGTTTGTATTTTTTTTTAACTAAACTTTATAAGTATCTTTAGAAAATTATCTATGACAGATAACAATAGTACTTTTGCAAACTTCAGGATTTTGTGATTTAAGTACTTTTTCCCCAGTAAAATTTTGCGAGAAATGTGATAAAGTCACTGATTTTCTCTGAAACAAACTCTCAAGCTCAAAAAAAGCTCTGAAAGTTGAGGTTGTAATGAAAGGAGTCCTCCCTGTTCTGCTGAGACTCCACCTCCATATCCTTACAAACTCTCCATGCGCAGATAGGGAGAAAATACGTTAGCAGGGTTGCCACTTTGCATAGGGACTCCAAGGCTAGAAACACAGCAACCTGCTAACGTGTTGGCTCCCTTTCTGCGCATAGAGTTTGACTTGATGTAGAGGTGGACTTTCATCATAACAAGGAGGATTAAGTATGCCCTCAGCATTCAGAGCTTTTTTAAGCTTTGGAGTTCGTTACAGAAGAAAGTAGTGGCACCTTTGTGTTTTTTGCCAAACTTTATTAAAAAAATACTTACTTAGCAAATCTCTGCAAGAGCTTTACCTAATGATTGAGCATTGTAATTTGTTTCAACCTCCAAGCAAGTCATTAAATGATTTCATTGCAGTTTTATTCAGGGGTGCAGAATGTTTTCATTCAAGCAATCATGATTGCGTGAGAATTGGGATGGCTGTAAAAATTGAGGAAGGCTTCTTTTTTTGCTGCTTTTGAGGAAGGAAACTTTTAAGCGCACTGTTTTATGTGCCGGAAGTCTTTCAAGCGCGCTACTTTTCGGGAAGGAAGTAGTTGACAAGTTGTACTACGTAGAGGTGCAATTGTAGCAAAATACAAAACTTTGGGGAAGGCTAAGTACTTTTTGCACCCCTGGTCTTATATTTTGAGGAAGAGGAATTTAAAAAAGGAACACCAATGAATAGGTTCAAAAATACTGGCTTGATATTCACATGATTTTCTATGAAAAAAAAACGAAAAAATACTGCTTATAGGAAAAATACCAATCAAAGTAAAGGTGTTATTTTCTAGACAATTTTCTTTTCATTTTCAGTTCTAAATTTCAAATTATTGATCTGAAAAGTCAAATAATTTTTCTTATTTTGGTCAGGGAAACCCTAGAAAAGTCAGGAAATTGTTTTCTACAGTCCGTACACATTTTGCCTACATCCCAATCAAGATTTACCTAGTCTAACTGTTCTTGATGTTTTTTTCACAGTTTGCTCTATCATCATGGTGATGAATGTGGTGCTTTTACATCGAATACTAGCTGATGATTTTAAAACGAACAAAAAGCAGCCGCAAATCAACAACAAGCAAACCAGCCACGCCAAAATCCAATAAAGACGACATAAAAAATGTCTCGACTGATTTCATCGTGAATCAGTCATCCTTAGATCTAGTCATTAATTATTTATTCTATGTTTTATGTTTCATTCTCTCCAGATTTATTTTAAGGGTAATTTTTTTTTAGTTTTTAGCTTATTTTTCATTCTCAAGTTTTTATTTCTATTATCCTTTTGGAAGTCTCCATTGTTCAATCCATCCATTCGTTAGTACTTATTTCAAATGCTGTAAAGGAAATGATTTGATCACAATATTATCTCCAATCATCCCAGTACTGAGAATTTTTTGAAACATGACGTACACAGCGAATACACTTGTATCTTGTTATAATATTTCTTGAAATAACATTTCCTAGGAAACACCGCTGTACTCTTAACAAGCCTCCGGACAAGATATGAATTGAAGCACTATGAAACATGTTTTTCCTTTAAAATTTCACGAGAAAAACACATCACACTGCGCGCACGCTGGAAATCAATTCCGAAACTAAATATAAGTATTTACAATAAACATTGATGAAATGGAAAATACAAATGATGTCATTTGTATGATTTAACTTGCTGATGACCTGTGAAAAAAATACGTATTGCTATAGCATTTAGTAGTTGATTTCCAATCATGGAACTTCCTGTTCCGTGAATTTTTCTCTACGTAAGATTATGAAGAGAAAACATGTTTATGCTTTCTGCTTGTTCACGCCTTGTCTAATAGTCCATTTTACCTCAAAAACTTTATTTTGAAGTACGCTTGCATTATTTTCCAGAGAGCATTTTTCACAATTTTGCCAAAGTTTTCTAGAATGAATTGCGAGACAAGGATAAAATATGAGCTCAAACATCTATGCTTCCTCATCAAACTATTACATGGAACTGATGAGCACATTTTGAAAATTTTGATAACTCACTCAGGCGCGAGTCCCTAATTTTTCTATATTTGGCATTCGGTAACTTTTCTTGACAACAAACGCAAGTACATGTTAGTCAAACTGCATCGGATCAATTTCAACAAGTTTCACATTTAAATTGTTCCCTTTGTGTTTATTTTTTAATGGTTTATTTATTTATTTATTTATTTTTTTTTATATTTATTTTTTTTTTATATTTATTTTTTTTAAAGTAAGTTTTCTAATACAGAATTAATCAGAGAAAGAAGAAGCTCTGGAAAACCTGACTCGGGTAATTTTAGAATGCACAAATAGATTCTCAATGGTCATTTTCTCTTACATTGTTTTTTTGCTCTTCCTGCTGGCAGGAAGTTTGAACTAAGTGATTTTAATGTTAATTGTTAGTATCTTTTTCTCTCTGGGAATTGGATTTTAGAATTTCTCGCATGTAAGTTGTATTATGTATGTAATTTTGATGAGAATTCATTGGGTTTTGCTGTAATTTTCCTTATTTAGTATCCCATTCTTGCCTGAAATTTTGTTTCTATCTGCAAAGCGTAAATCACAGGCCAAACATGAATATTTCATCAAAAAAACTACCCCCGTTTTATGTTTTCATAGCAAGATTCACCATCAAATTTACAGTAGGACAAAATGTAATGTTTTCTGGAAGAACTATTTCTTTTTTTTTAGTAAGAGAGACAGACTAATTCAATTTCCAGCCGAAAACTGGTTGAGTGAGAAATGAACGCTCTCTTAAATCTGTAATTTCTCCAAAGCTATGCTTTTCATCATTTTGCAGAAGTAGTATGCAAGTATTTTCACCACCCTCCCTAAAACCTGTATACATTTTATTAGGCAACATGTTTCTTTGATAGATATTCGAATCCATGAAGTGTTCACATGCAACTTTATTTTTAACAAATTATTTTCTGAAATTTTACATCCGCTTTGAATGCACAATTTGTTTTCCAACTTTCAAGAACAAAGCATTTGCTCAGTATCGTCAGAAGTAGTTCATTTTGGAGAACCTTGTTATTTACAAATTTATTTACCAGATATGGATTGTTGTAACATCCCAATAGTGTCCTCTGCTTTGTTCTTTTTCTGTCAGAAATTCTGTAATCGACTTTTTGGCATTTGTTTTTATCAGTGCTATGCCATTATATTCGAACTTTATTTTCTGTATCCCGTCAAAATTCTATTGTCAGCAATCATGCAAATCTCTTATTTGTGGGATCTGTATTTTACAGAAGTATCCATTATCTCAGTATCATATTCATTGATTGACATTGGTATCGGTTAATCTATTTATCTTATTTTTTTTTTATTTTGAATTCATTCACATTATGAATCACGCACAAGAATTTATCATTATTTATTTTTTAAACTTAGGAGGCTATATTCAGGCATTATTCTAAAGAATGTTTTTTCTGTCTCTAGATATGGTAGGAAACTTGCTTGGCAGTCCCATTTCTCCCAATGTGCTCTGCAATTTTTTAAGTTTTACCCTGAATTTTTCTCCATTACAAGCTCCTCCCAAGCATATTGAAATTATGAATGGGTTGATTTTTCCAAAAATGCTAGTTGCTATCCTTTTGCTTCAAGCCACTCTTTTGTGTGTACCATTTTTTTAATCAGTTGCTTCGTAAAGATTTTTTGTCTCAGGTTTAAGAAATTATGGAGGCAGTTTGTAAATCGCTGATTTGTCACTACAAAATTTTCCTAAAAATATTATTTACTTTTCCCTTAAGAATGGGTGGGATATTTTCAAGCAGAACTCAAAAATTAACTGTTGAATCTTTCAGCAAGAAGTTCTCATCAATAGATTTCATTTTGCATCCTTGTTTATTCATCAAGATCATTCTACAGGACTCACAGGACTACAAACACCTGTAGTCAGTTTTGAATGTTAAGAATCCATTCATCAATTCAGTAGATGAGCTACTTAGGTTTTTCTTGCCGTATCCAGGAGAAGGTAAATCTCTGTTTTACTCCTCTTGGTAACCTTTGTGCAAAGTTATTTCCTGTTTTTTTATGCTGGAATCCATATTTTCCATTGAAGGTAATTTATTTCAAGCGCAGGTATAATGATTTGTAATTTTTTTTATGTTTTTAATAGTTAACCTTGTATTATTACTAGTAAGTTTGTTTTTTAATAATTTTTTTAGCTTTTATTTTGGGTATGATTTATTTATTATGTACTAAGGGAGCTCACACGATACCTCAAGTGGGTATCATACTTAGTTCTATACTTAGAAATGCATTCATTATATCTAGCTTTGCTGTAAAGCCTGAGGGTTTATGTTTCAACATGGCTTGTTTGAGCAATTTGCTACTTCTCAGTTCTCATTATTTATTCAAAGAAGCTCCAGGCGGAATTGTGTCGATTAGTGTATCTACGGCTGAAAGTTGTGGCAAGAATAGCGACTTAGACATTCAATCATAACTAATGGTTTGCACCGTCAACGAACGAAGAATGGCTCAAGCTTGCTGTAAAAAATGCTCAACTTTGCACGACTGAATGTAGAAAATCAATGTCCCGACTTTTAGTTAAATTTAAAAGTCAGGTTTTTCAACATGCGGTCGACCATAGCCAACAAAATTCGGTTCTGGGACATGTGTTTGGAGCAACTTGAATGATTAAAAATTGTGGTAATTTTCGACGCTCCAGTCCTGAGTCTCTCGAGATCCATTCTGTACTCCGTTACCATCTGTCTCTGAATTATAAGTTCACCTACCTTTGTCAGTAGTCCAGAATATCTAGACCGAGATATATAAAAATCAGACCCAGCATTTCTGCAGCTGCTAATACTGTGCAATTGAAATTATCAGAATGCATGAAATTATTTAGGTATATAAGCTTCAAAATTTTACTTTTAATTTTCCCTTCCTTTTGTTTCCCCAAAGTACAGAAATCTATCGGTCCAGATTCTTCTGCAACTGTCTACTCAACTGTCCGTTCTGTTGTAACAGAAAATGACTGAGGATTTTTCTTCTATTCATCACATGTTAATGGCTAACCTAAGAGACTACATATCTGGGTTTCCTCACACTTTAATACTGAGACTAATTAACTGAGTTCTTTTAAAATTTCTGTGATTTTCCTTCTCTAATCGAAGAGTATTCTGCGAAAATCGTAAGGTACAAAGTGAACATTTTTTCTCTAAAAAATTAAAAGGGAGTAAAAATTTTAGAACCCTGCTCTCAAGATATGTGGTCTCCGAATTTGACCATCTACTCGAGTTCAAATGGAGATACTCGTTTATTTGCGTTGGATTTTAAGGCGTCCACTTCAAAATTGTTTTAAGAACAACCTTTACAGCATAACTCTAAAGTGTCCATCAAAATAATACGAGCAGTGACAATAAATTTTGATTTTTCACTGTCATTTTCACAATTGACCAATCGTGTGGCTCAAAAAATGCACTTTGTCTCCTCAGTTCTCTGAAGGAGTCTTTCAAGCACTTTCAAATGCTCAGAGCAATTTTCAACGCTTATCTTGCACATAGGAGGATTTCTTTTATCAAGTAGGTAGTTAATGTTGTTGGTAAATAGCAAATTATAAATTGTTAAAACTTGTTTCTATGTTTCCCAACGCCTCTGTTGATCAGAGATGCCATATGTACAGTGATGTGATTCCCTCTTTTAGTTGAGTTATTATTTTTCCACTCATTTTCCGCACTTGTTAAAATGTCAACCACACATCATGAGGTTGAGGTTGAGGTCATCAAATCGGTGAAAAGGAGCCTCATTTGATCTCATAATTCGTCGCTCCTCTGATGAGAGGGCGTATCTCGATTTCCAGGTGAGCCTTGCTCTTTGTATAATCCTATGCTTTCTGGAGCTCATGTGGAAATGGAGATTAGCCCTTACGACTTACATCTGAGAGATGACGAATTGACCTGTCTAGTTGCAGTATTGGGATACTGCAAATATGATCATCTCTCATATGAGTAAGTATGAGGAAGAGGATGCAAGACTGCTCGCTGTTCCTAGTTCATCTGCTCATTTTAAGATTCAAAGAAGTCATGGCTCATGGGCTAAGAAAGTTGAAATTCTCAGAAAAGAATCCAAATAGTTTACGCACTTTAAGAGAGAAACCGAATATCAGCTGTCTTCAGTTAAGCATTGAATGTAAGTACAAGAATCAAGATGGTGGATCTTCTTTCGCACTCTGGAGTGTTAACCTATTCTGTAAGGACTCAATAAAGCCTGAAAAGAAAATTCTTCATCTTGTTCAAAATTTTAAGTTTAAAATCGATTATGTCATGTTATAATATAGCACCGGTTCTAGTTCTGACTAGTTTTAGTCCAACTACTAACTAACCATGATTTCATGTTGTTTCCAGTTGTTTTAAATGTGCAGGTAGAACATATATTTGTATTTTGTATCATTTGTTACCATCGTGTATTAATAGTACTGCAGTCGGCATTATATGCATTAAATTACAGATTTATATTTTTATGACCCAGCTTTTGTGGCCTTCGAAGTTTCCAAAAAAGAGAAAAATAAAATACTTCCATCATGCATTTCTTTCGTTTTTCCTTGCTTTAACAACAGAATTTCCTCATCTATTTGACTCAGATAGTAAATAATTTAGGAAGCAATAGTTTTTGTAAAGCTGCAGTCTTCGTTGTTTTGATAGCTTTTTTCAGTGGATAATAGGCTGTCCAGAAATAGGAACATTCTTATGCAAGATCAGAGAAAGATTTCTTGTTGCAATTAGAAATATTTATGCTTGAAAGAACTATGTATCTGCCAATTATTAAAAGGAACGTTGTTCCTATTCATTTAATTCAATGGTATGTATGTAGTTCCTTCTAGCACTAATACATTTTGTTGAGATAACAACGAGGGGTTAAAAAATCAAGCCTGCAAAAAACAGAGGCAGTGAAAGGCAACAAAGGCAGTGATTTCAGGAGAAACACGCTCATTGTGGCCCTTAAAGTCAATTCGAAAGTATTTCAAAGCTAAGAATATTTATCTCAAAACAAAAATTATTGGAAGGAGGAGGTCAATATCAAAAGATGAACTATTACAACAAATTATTATTTAATGATCACAAAGCTTAATTTAAATATTGTAACAAATATAAATTGACATTTTGACAAGTGATTGAGTGATACAAACCACCTATCAAAATAAGGCACGTCTGAGCCGATGATGATTCAATGATCAAATGATCCATCAAATCGGCCAGAATTTACAAGAAATACATAATACTTTAAAAAAATAAAAATTTACAATCATTACAACTGAATCAAGAATAACATTGGTAACTAAAAGCTAAGAAGAAAAATTCTGCAGGAAGATGATGCGCAATCTAGGATAAAAATTCAAAAGAAATCTGTTTTCCCCCTAAAAAATAAATAAAAGTCTGTGGGAAGAGACTATGCTTAGGACAACATATTCAAATTTCGTGATTGAAAAAATGTGAATGGATGGCTTGTTTTTTATTACATAATAATATATTGACAAACCCTTGACAAAATTTTACAACCAGGTGAAAATTTTGATCATTTGGGTGAGTAGTAACTTCAATAAATACCCCATCATTCCGCATGGAATGTGACAAATAAAATGGAAAGAATAAGAATACATAAATATTCAGCAAAAGCTGATTCTCTATTTTTAATCAGAAAATTTCCAGGTTAAGAATTGAACTTTATTTTTTTAACTTCAACAAAACCAAGTAGTTTTGGAGTAAGAGAGCTTTCTATGAAATTGCTTTTAGTATCGTGCATTCATAAAACGTTGTAATTAGCCAATAACATCCGAAAACTAGGCATGACTAAACAAATACAATATCTAATTCTTGAAGGAAATTAAAATTGGAAGTTGAATGCACTCATGGAGATCTTCCTAAATTTATTGGATGTCATGATCAACTGTAATAGAGTGCGCGTATCATCTTCTATCACAGAAATAATCTTTGATATCAACAGGTACTGGCAGAGCGTTGGGTTAATCATTAGACAGCAGCTCGATTGTTAAAAAATCATCTCTTCAATTTTGGTGTGATCACTTTTGCAGTAAATCACTGAATGAACAAAAACAGCTACGTTGAGGACTCAAATACACTCCACATGGCCATTCTGATGACTTCTTTCGTAGAGATTTGGTGACGACGTAAGTCAACAGTGATACTAAATAAAGTCGAATTTCGTTTGGGGTATTTAAAAATCTCTACTCTTTTAAACAAGAACGATACAAAACTTTAGTTTATCATTGTCACAGAATATTCTCCTGGCAAAGAAATAATCAGGAAAGCTCTCAAGAAATGAGGTCAAGTATTGTTCCATTTAAAGACTAAACCATGACAGGAAATCTTCAGCGTCGCTCATCGAGATCTGCGTTTTTGCACATTTTAACTATTACCAATAGTCATTCTTGCAAATTGGTAACACTGTTTTTAATTTTCCTCCATTAAAGTTCATTTTAAATGGCCGATTCCAAGGCATGCAGCCTGCCTTGACAAATATCGACTTCTCAATATAAAATAAAATGGACGAAAACCAGTAATGCCTAGTGCCTAATAACGCAAATGACTAATATAATGTTAAATTAACTGAGTAGATACAGGCTACAGGCATCAACTATTGGTCAAGAGGACTGGTTGGACTCACATATAGACCATAAATAATACCCTTCATGAGACAAAATCTACGGTTTGCTCTTGATGCCATTCAGTTCTATACTTTCACTAGTCATTCTTTTCAAATAAAGACCGACAATCACTTTTGAAAGACGCTCAAATTATTGAATAATACCTGCTATAATAAGGAGGTTATTTTCAAAAACTCCCATCATTCATGTTTTCTCAGGAGGCTGGTACCAACTTTTTAAAGGAATTGGAATGCACCACTCGACAAGGTACGAATTTCAGCATTCTGATACTTGTTTCTCAGCCAAAATTCCACGTAGAACACGATGCGTACAACGAAAATTACCAAAATCAACTCCTTTCAAAGATATTTAATGATTCTTGATGCGTGAATACAAACCATCCGCTCATGAATACTCAATGCTCTACGTGATTCACATCGCGCGCTAAATGTTATCATGACAGTCTCTGCGTCATAAAAATCTGGCAACCTCGATCTTGACGCTTTGGCTCAGCTATAGCAAATTGCCTATAGTTTGAAAAACACATGGTGGGAAATGAACATTGCTCGCTTGAGAAGCTTGTTGAAACCGTTGTAGTGCGCGATTTGACTCGAGTAGAGCTTTGAGTTTCTTGTGAGCGGGCAGTTCAAATTCCTCCAAACCAATGTGTAATAAAAACGTTAATATCTTCGTTAAGTGTTGGCTTCAGTAGTTTTCGTTGAGTGAATCGTGTTTTACGTGAAATTCTGGTTAAGAAACATGAATCAGGTTGCTTAAATTCGCACCTTGTCTAGTGGTCCATTACTATGAATGAGATGTACATTCTTCTAGCTTGATATTTATGGATTTGAGTTACATATTCTGCAATTTAGGGGGGTTAGAGACTTCGATAATATGGATTATATTTTGCAATACGGAACCATTATCTGTGCCTTACCATAAAAGCACCTTTCAGTATAGAGAAACCAATGGCATATATGTTGTTTCTCAAATGAGCCAGAAATAGTGGTTCCTTACTACAAAATGTAATCCATATTGGACTCGAAGTGGAGCATGTTGATAATGGTGGCTTCTTGAGTGCCATAAACAGACAAGTGTAAAATAAGCCTTCTACATAGTCATTTTTCATGTTTTAGATGAACAAAATCATAGAATATTAAAGTTATCATTGGAGGAAACATGAAGATTTTCTTGAATCAGACAGTCCATTACGACAGGTTTCAAACTCTCTGCTGGCGTTCACTGTAGTACTCACAATTGAGAATTTTCAAAAAATTATTTTCATTATATTCGTTTTTTCTTTTTAAGTTTAAGTACATTTGTACCCAGTGAAGAAGGCATGATATTGAACAACTTTCACCTTCAGCTATTGCGATAACAACTGCCATGAAAGGAAAAACAAGTATGGACACGAGCTGCTCTGCCATTGCAAACTGAGAAAGAATATAAGACTTTCCAAAGCTTATGATCTTTCTGCTGAGAAATGATCAGTAATTATTGCTTTCTTACAACTAGAGCAAAAGTAAAACAAGAAAAAACCAGTCTTAAGTAAAAAGTAAATCAACACAACACAGATTATTTGAGTGTTGTATTTGGCCCGTTACAACACAAAATTGGCTGAATTGGGATGAATTGAAATTATGACAATGCGGAGAAAAGACAATTTAACTTGGACACTCTCTTCAATGGACAATTTTTTGCCGAAGTGATGGAATTTTAAAACGAATTTCCAGAAACTGTGATTTAAAAGAAAAAATTAGGGAGAAAGAAAACTTCAAAAATATTTTTCAACCAGAGCTGTTTGAAATTGTATGAATCTATATGAAATTTAATCGTAGCCGCATTCATTTTTTTTATCAAAATCATATTTAATTTAAAAATTTATCGTGATTGATTTTTAGAATATTTTGAATTTGAACTTCCTGTTGCATTTGTTCAGATTTGCGTCATTATTACAGGTGCTCATTGCTTTTTAATCATAATCATTTCATTTATTTATACTCAAATTTTAATTGAAATTTAAGTTCTTTGCCTGCACAGCTCTAGTATAAACTCAAATTTTTTACGAGATCAAATTGGAGCAAGTAACCCATTACTACAGATGAGAATCGAAAGTATAGATGAGAAAGGTAAACTGAAGTTTCTTTCTATTCATTTTTAGAAGAAATAATTCTGAGCCTTACTTGGGACTATCTAGAGCTCCTGTCTAAACACACTCCGAGGAATGTGAACGAATTGTGTTGAGTTGATTTACCCAAAATCAGTTCCTTATACTAAGAAATACATTAAAAGTTACATGGATAGCAATTAAAATACCGTGCAATTCTGAACTAAAACAATTGGAAAATAGTACATACTAACACGAGGAACAGAGACTTTAAAATTTTTGCTGATAAAAACACAAGATAAGCAATCAATAATGAAGTTCGTCAGAAGTCATTGGAAAAATCGTTCATTTCTCTGTCTGAGGATTTTAAGTTAATAAACAAATCTTACAGGTTAATTATATACTTTAACAATAAAGGGAAATGTGAACCTTCAGCATCATCATTTACTAACTCCCTTAAATTTGATCCATGGACTCTGACTATATGGAGTTAGGATCCAAGAGCTAGGCGAAGTTCCCTTGATGATTCAGAGATTAATGCAGGTTTGTGATAAAATTGACTGGCTTACTGAAGTAGTGTTGGACTGTGGAGACTAACGCCAATTAAAGCTAATTGATGATAACTTCCACCATTTACAATTGCAATTTGTCATTCAAATAAGTGAGATGTCATATTCATTGCTTTCCTTTCCATCAGAGCAGAAATCAGCAGTGTCATTGATATTAAGTATTCTCTGGTTTTAAATTAAATTTCCTTTCAGTTCAAGTTACATTCTTGTGATATCGTTTAGAGCACATGTTCAAAAACGTCAACATTTTTTGGCACGGATAAAATAATGAACTAAAGTTATGTAACAGTTAGGCGGAAATTTATACTTGCATTGTCATTTGCAGGTGATGGTATTCACAAAATTTCTAAGTAAATCTCCGTATAAACCTATGAGAATTATTTGATGCTTGACAAGAATTAAAACCTTATTGCTAAAAGATGCTTATCACTACCAGCTTAGAGGATCGTACATATTCTTCTCTGCTCTGAACCAATATATAACTCTACAAGATTAAAAATACAGATTTTAGTAATAAAAAAAATAAAAGTTATTTGTGGTATCACAGTTTGAATACTTTTGAGAACCCTCTGGAGCGAAGGCTAACAAAGACTGAAAAATGGCTAAGAGGGATTAAAAACTTGAATGGCCTGATTACAGTCTACTGATAATTTCTGCAGGACAAATGCATAATCTATCAAATATTCACATCCTACAATAGGAGCAGGAGTCTACCCTGTTTCCCAAAATTGTGTTTCCGGAAAAAAAAGGTGACGATGTTCAGAATTATGGTAGCCGGTGATCAGCTTGAAATTTTGGCAGGCTTGCTAAGCTATTTCTAATGAGAGAGTGAGCAATACCAGAAATTATAGCAGTTTGACCTAAAAATTGTGGACTAAATTTATGGCCGCCTAATGTTTTTTCTTGAAAAAAAAAAAAAAAAAAAAAAAAAAAGGATGAGCAGAAGACATTGAACTGAAAAATTATTAAAAAAAGACCCATGATAATAATACATCTGAAGACGAATAAGTCCCTGTATTAGCACCATTTCATCGATTTCTCATAAAAAGGACATCACATGAAAATTGACTCTCAGAATGGCACAAAAATGGACACAGGTCCATTTGGAGTAACAGCAGAAGGTAACCCGATAAGGTAATTTAATAATTCACTGGTCAATGGTTTAACTTATTCTATCATAAAAGTCAAAATTGCCATTACGGTGATCCCAGCGCCTAAGGAGACCATTTGCTTCAGCGACTCTCGGGTGTTTTTCTCTTGCTGTAACTCTGGCAAGATTGAAACAAGTGCAATATGAAGAAATCCTCCAGCTGTGAATGGCAAGATCCAGGAAGTTTTTGCCTCTGAAAAATGAAAAACAAAATAATCAATTTTTCCTGAAGCTACAGACGGAACTAGAAGCACATTAGTTGAATTAGACGAGTGTTAAGACAATAAAAAGGGCTAAAAACTCTCATGCGCACTTATCTTTCGTAAGAGTTGAACTTTGCAGATGCCAATTTCAAGAAAAACCAGTCAAAAAATGAAATGTTCCCATATTTTGAGAAGGTATATTTTAGTGGTGACGACCACCACATTGGTGATCGAAGAGGCATCCTTTCCTAGCTGGCTGAGGGGGTTAGATGTAATGAAAAACATTTAAATAAATGACATGACAGTTCAAGGAAAACTTCTTCTGAATGTAAAGAACACGAGACAAAGTATCATGTCAAATTCCAAACAAACACATGACCACGAATCCAACATAGCAGCGAGAAAACCTGTAATAGATGTAGAAAAATTCCTTTTTTCAGACTAACTTTCAAAAATAATACATCGAAACTTAAACTTCAAAATCTTATCGTCCTGTGAAGGTTGTAAAAAACACAAAACCAAAAAATATAATAATATTGCTGGCATTAAACCTCTTTGGATCCATAAGATTTCCTTTGGGATGTAATTTTGACTGGTGTGGATCTAGTTCTTTGATGGGACATAGTTTTGAATTTGCAAATGCAAAATATGCTAATAGCTAATTTACAAGTAACATTTTGAAAATTTCAGCGCATCAATTTGGTTCTGAATCCTAATTTCTAGGTAAAAGTCCGAACAAAATATTTATCATTTTTGTTGTGCTGCTGTCGACAGTAAAGTCCTTACTGAGAGGCACTCTTGAACTGCTAGCATAGCCATCAAATGACTGCTGAAGCTACAGTAGATTTTACAGCTTTTGATCCTATCGTTTTAAGATATTTAACATAAAACTCCTTTCAATTCTTACCGATGGAATTTGATGAGCCGCTAAACACAATGGCAGTCATGGCACCAACCACACCTGCAGAGGCAGTGTAAAGTTGCATATACGCTGCTTCCCACCTGGTGAAACCAGATCTCAATAAAATGGCAAAGTCACCTACTTCATGGGGAATTTCATGGACTGAAAACAACAAAAGATCAATAAGATTATAAAAGGATTAAGGACATTATTTTCAACAAAGTCAAACATTTAAACCCAAAACTGTGAGTTAGTGTAACTGGAAATTAAGACACCAAACCTATAGAACAGTTCAATTGAGCCGAAACTTTGCAAAAATATTTTCTAAACATACACTTACTGGAAAATACTGAGTGGGTATTTCCAACTTTTCAAGGGAGCGTTTACCTCAGTGGCCTCTACTAATACACTTACTGGATTTATTGCCATGTTCTAAATGTTTGAATTAATTGATAATATTTGATTTTGTGTTTTAATTACACCCCCGATACAGTCCAGATCTTGCACTTTATGACCTTGGGCTTTCCTGAAGCTCAGAACTCCATTGAAAAGTACCAAAGATTTGAAATACTTAAAGAAATCAAAGAAAACAAAGGGGAGAAACTATCTCAAGAGAGGACTTCTCCGAGAGCCTCTGGAAGTTGAAAGAATGCTGGCCAAGTGTGTAGAATTCAATCTGATTATTTTGAGGGAGAACAGTAAAGGTCAGCTTTTCAAAAACGACAAAAACAGGATAGGTACATTTTGGTCAGACTAAATAGAAATAATGTTATAAAATTTTTATACATCATACCTAGAATTGCAAAAGTAGTCAAGCAACCAACTCTGGCTGAGAGGAGAAAACTGCCACCAACTGCGAGACCATGGGTAAAGTTGTCGATACAATTGGCTGCTAAATTCAGGTACCCACTTATCTGAAAAAAGAGATAAAATTTAAACATTGGTCCATTCTCTCTTGAAGAACACTCTCAATTCTGATTCCAATCCATAAGGTCCAGTGTTGAGGCCGGCTAAACTGCTCCTGTACTGTGTTTTAAGTTCACTATTACAACTTATCCCGTTCATATGTTTTTTACATGTTCTTACATACTCCATTATCTTTAGAGTGCGCAAACCAGAGCATGGTACTTACATTACTTTGATCGAGAGATAAAAAGTTACTGGAAAAGGTCTAGAACATAAATCAATGTTAGGATCATTGCTCAGCAAAAAAATGATTTGAAACAAGACAGTTTTTGTGTAATGTTCGGATCTTTGTTCACTTTCACACCGCAGAAAAAGAGATGCGATCCTGCTTGGCTGAACTGAATTGCATGATGCTAGAACGACCATAAGTCAAAAATTCTGACTGTAGAAATATGATGGAAAATTGTTTCTCCATCACTTTCTTTGGCTAAACTTTGCAGAATTTTTGTTTTATTTGCACTGATAATTTTTTAACTATGTTCTCAAAATTGAAACACACTCACTAATATACTTACCAAAAACGCATAGTTCCTAAAAGAGAATCACAGTTGCTTTGGCCTAACTGAATACGATTTACTGTCTGAAATATGAGTGATTATGCAAGTGAGGAATACTTCTCGAATTTTTAAGAAATTTCATCAAATTAGAGTTAAAGAGTAGGATGTCTTTCCTCTAAATTAAAAGGGGGAAAGAAATGTGATTTTAAAGCTACCTGAATCGTAGATGGAGTTTTCACAAAAGCCTTGTTGGCATTGTCATCGGAGCAGATAGTCGTTTTGGAGGGCTCAACCTGCTTCACAAGCATAGGACTGCTGTCTTGCTGACCGGCAAACGCTTTTTCCATAACGATGAATACCAGCATTCCGGTGAGAACCCAAAGGCCGCAAAACATCGACGGATTACTCCTTGCTGATTCTGTAAACACACAATAATTAATTTCATTAGAACTATCTTCATAATGGTGACAAACTCTATCTTTAATAGGAATGGGTCTCCACTCAATAACCAAATACATTAAATACACGCATTCAATTTTTATTCGAAGAGGTCCTTTACATTTTTAACAAATTCATAGATAATTAAATATACTAATAAATAAACGATTAAAAACAGAGAAAAAACATTGAACGGAACAGCTTTCTTAGTACTACAAAAATTGAAGGGAAAATGAACCGCGTTAGGCAGAAAGAAACCAAACCACATCAGTTATCGCCATATTTAAATGGGCAATATAATTTTTTACACGAAAACGGTTGTGCAGATTTTTGTGCAAATTTCAGTGAATTTTCTGAATAAAACGGAGCAAATTCATTAAAATTTTCAAAGAAATGCTCCCAAACGTTCTCTTATAAAAAGTTAAATTGTTCAGTTAAATTTAACAATAGCTGATGAGGCTTAGTTCCTTTCTGCTAAACGCGGTCCAAATATCCTTGAGGTTACCTGAAAATTCGTAATTTCCAACACGTCATTTGGCAACGTCCGAAGGCTTATACACCGATTTTCCTTAGCACGGCAGTAAAGATCGTGATGTGGAGAGCTGGAGGGGGGGGGTGTCAAGAGAATCCAATTTTCAGCGTTACGTATTTTGAGAACGTCCCCCGTTGAGTCAAAATCTGAAGCAAATCGTTTCGCGGAAATTCGACCACAGTCTTCATTCTTTTTTGGCGGCTCAGGCTCTTGTTCTGTCGGTTGATTATAATAACCGATGTCTCCGAATTTGACACGCGGTGCCGGCAAATGGGGGATCGCGAGGAAACAATGGAAGCGAGTAGGTCTGCCGTGATAGCGAAGAGTGTAGTAAGTACATTTCTGTATGAGCTATGGTTGGGACATGCTTTTATGTGTCTCAAGGTTCATCCCAGCACGCAATTACTGTTTTTTTCGCTACCACGGCAGAGGTGCGCACCCAATCTATTACATGTTACCGTGGCGACATCTCGTGAGCGATCGGAAAATGCGTGACGAGGGTGGGGGTTCCGCAATTAGTTGACGATTGAGCCCGAAAATCGAGTTTCATGGTTTCATACCCGTGAAAATCCAACATTCATGTCCTCTTCCTGGTAGAGGGACCAAATGAACATGCTAAAACTAGTGCAAAATATGCTGCTCCAAAGACGCTCAAATTGCGTGTCATATTTTTGAAGGCAAGCGGTCAGAGTAAGCGCAAAGCACAGCGAGTAAAGTAACTTCATGACGTCACCTTCCGGCCGAAGTGTCACAAGCGCCATGCGACGTTTAAAAATTTCCGCCGCCATATTTTTTTAAAGAGAAATTGTTCAACGAAGCTGTCCGAAAATTGCACTAAATTTTCTTTAAGCTGCCGATAAAAGTCAGTGAAATTTTCAAACAGATTCAACCAACAATTTCTCTGTAAAAAAATAAAATGGCGGCGGGAATTTTGAAATGTAGCTTGGCGCTTGTGATACTTTGGCCGAAAGGTGACGATGTTCCCTTCCATGAAAAAGCTCAAATTGGTACAAGCAACTTTCACTGCTCCAGAGACGCTCAAATTGCCTGGCAAATTTTTGAAGGCGAACAGGTCAGAGTGAGCGCAAAGCACTCGGGCGTATTACAAACAGCAATGATTGGACAGGTACAGATACTATAGAGAATTTTGGATGTAATCGTCAATGCTGCCAGCATGAAAATTAAATGTTGTTGGCGCACCGTTGCCCGAAGGGAATTTCGTTATGATATGACAGAGGTTAGCAGAAAGTTAAGAACTTAAATTCGCTCGCAAAACTTTGACTTTTTTGTGGGAGGGTTCAGGGCCGGATTTACCTACTTGCCACCCATGGGCCACCTGTATTTTGCCGCCCCCTTCTCATTCGTTTTGAAACATCAATAAAAACCAACAAGTGAACGTGCTGGAGGGAGAGGGGTGCATAAGACGCGTTTACCCACTCGTGTTGGATACATATTTTGCGAAAGCCCTGTCAACACTACTAGCAAATGTTCACGGAACTTTGCGCGAAAGTTAAGTTCCGTAAACCTATCTCTATGTGGACAAGGTCCTCCATTTATAAGAAATGAACCAAAAAATTATGAAAGAACAAACATAAATGTGGTTTAATAATTTTAACTTCCGCCGCTGCGCCGCGCTGATCGCACTGTGATTTGGCGCAATGCGTGAAGTATTCCTGCAGTCTTGTAGGCGCTATACGTTTCACGCCAACCGCTCCTGACCGCACTGTGTTTGGCGCAATGGGTGAAGTATTCATGCAGTCTTGTAGGCGCTAATATGTGTTACATGCCGATCGCCGCGCCGAGGGCTTGTCTTTTTCATCTCCAGACGGACATTTAGATTTTCCCACAATAATTACCCTTATGGCTAAAATTTGAAATATATCGATCGTACCCAGAATACATTGCGCAAAAGGTGAACATCCACCTTCCTTACTACGCTTTCAAAGCGCGGCAAAACTAAATGGAATTCGAAGGGGCCGAAAATTTTTCGATTATTTTATCGTAATGTATCGAATGACGTATCCACTAAATCCGTCTTTTCAAAAGTCAAGTTTCCAAAGCGGCTATCTGTATTCCTTCGTTTAGAGATTTGGCTTCCATCTTGACTGTCTTTACCACCCGGGAGGTGCAGCACACATCTACGAGATTTTGCAGATGATGACTCTAAACCTATATCGATGCCTAAACTGCGGAACCACGTATCTCAGTTTGCAACTTTACAAATTTCCTGTAGTCCTCAATTGTTTCCTAGGTAAACTTGTCATAATGTGCTTCCTAAAAAACTTCCTCGATTTATCTTCTTTGCCAGCAGAATATTTGTAAAAATTTCAATTCGTAAAGTTGACGTTTTCTTCGAAAAATAACGTAGGAGCAGAAATCTTGGAACACCGCGATGTAGATACGTGGTTTTGCACATTGGTCATCGATATTTAAAATCCTTGGGGCTTTTTCTACGTCTTTGATCCCGGGAATCACCCGACCGATTTACTTCGAGTTTGTTTTGAATGAAAGATTAGATTCCGTATCCACGGATTCTAATCTAATGTTTTAGTTTACAAATAAACCGGCCAATATATCTATCTATCTAAAGCCGTAGTCTCATCACCAGTCTATTTCGGATGGAAAGGGGCGCGACGAAAGGGGCGCCAAAAGGGGCGACGGGACGCCCGATCGATGCCCGGACAGTCCGACGCCCGCCGTGTAATTTTCGATTTTTTTCGCGCGTGCACAGAGACGTCGGGTGGCGCGACTGCGGACATGACCTTGCTCAAAAAAAAAAAAAAAAAAAAAAA